AGGGAGGGAGGGAGGGAAGGAAGGAAGGAAGGAAGGAAGGAAGGAAGGAAGGAAGGAAGGAAGGAAGGAAGGAAATCTGCTGTTTAGTACAGCTGCCTTCACCAGTGATCTTAGCTGGATCTTCTGGATAAGTTGCCGCAGCTTCTCCGTCAGCACTCGCTGCTTCACCTTCAGCTTGTATGTTACAGAGACAGCTTCTTTCCTTAAACCTCACGAGCCAACCTCTGCCAGTGTTCAAATTCTCTTTTGCAGCTTCCTCACCTTTCTCGGCCTTCATAGAATTGAAGACTGTTAATCCAGTTGCTCTGGATTAAGCGTTGACTTAAGTGAATGTTGTGACTGGTTTTGATCTTCTAACCAGACCATTCAAACTTTGTCCATAGCAGCAAAAAGGCTGTTTTGCTTTCTTACCATTCATGTGTTCTCTGGAGTAGCACTTTTAATTTCCTTCAATAACTTCTTTGCATTTATGACTTGGCTGTTTGAGGCAAGAGACCTAACTTTTGGCCTATCTTGCCTTTCAATATGTCTTCCTCACTAAGTTTACTCATTTCTAGCTTTTGATTTAAAGTGACAGACGTATGACTCTTCCTTTCACTTCAGCACTCAGAGGCTGTTGTAGGGTTGTTAATTGGCTTAGTTTCAATATTGTTGTGTCTCAAGGAATAGGGAGGAAAGAGAGAGACAGGGAACAGCCAGCTGGTGGAGAGTCAGAACACACACAACATTTATCGATTAAGTTTGCCATATCGGCACAGTTTGTGATGCCCCAAAACAATGACTATAGTAGCAACAAAAATCACTGATCACATGGTCAGGTGTAATGGCTCACACCTGTAATCCCAGCACTTTGGGAGGCTGAGGCAGGTGGATCACCTGAGGTCAGGAGTTTAAGATCAGTCTGTCCAACATGGTGAAACCCCATGTCTACTAAAAAAACAAAAATAGCTAGGCATGGTGGTGGGCATCTGTAGTCTCAGCTACTTGGGAGGCTGAGGCAGGAGAATCACTTGAACCTGGGAGGCAGATGTTGCAGTGAGCCAAGATTGCACCACTGCATTTCAGCCTGGGTGACAGCGAGACTCCATCTAAAAAAAAATCACTGATCACAGAACACTGTAATAGATATAAAAATAATGAAAAGGTATTTAGTATTAAAATATTGTGAGAATCACCAAAATGCAACACAGAGACACAAAGTGAGCACATGCTATTAGAAAAATGGCACCAAGAGACTTGTTTGATGCAGATCTGTCACAATCCTTCAATTTGTAAAAAACCAAACAAAAAACAAAACACATACACACAACGTCTGTGAAGCACTATAAAGCGAAGTTCATGGGATAACTAGCTAGCCATATACATAAGACTGAGACTGGATTCACTCCTTACACCATATGCAAAAATCAGTTCAAGATGTTTAAAGACTTAAATGTAAAACCCAAAACTATGAAACCCTAGAAGAAAACCTAGGCAACACCGTACCATTCAGGACATAGGGCAAAGATTTCATGAGAAAGATGTCAAAAGCAACTGCAACAAAAGTAAAAATTGACAAATGGGGTCTAATTAAACTAAAGAGCTTCTGTACAGCGTAAGAAACTAGCAACAGAGGAAACAGATAACCTACGGGATGGAAGAAAATTTTTGCAAACTATGCATCTGACAAAGGTCTAAAATCCACCATCTATAAGGAACTTAAACAAATTCATAAGAAAAAACAACCCCATGAAAAAGTGGGCAGATAATATAAACAGACACTTCTCAAAAGAAGACGTACGTGTGGCCACCAAACACATGAGAAAAGCTCAACATCACTGACCGTTAGAGAAATGCAAATCAAAACCTCAATGTGATGCCATCTCATACCAGCTAGAGTGGCTATGATTAAAAAGTCAAAAAATCACAGATGCTGGTGAGGCTGTGGAGAAAAGGGAACACTTTCACACTGTTGGTGGGAGGGCAAATTAGTTAAAACACTGTGGAAGACAGCGTGGCAATTCCTCAAAGACTAGAGACAGAAATGCCATCCCACCCAGCAATTTCATTACTGGGTAAATACCGAAGGGAATATAAACCGTTCTACCATAAAGACACATGTGCACGTATGTTCATTGCAGCACTATTCACAGTAGCAAAGACATAGAATCAACCAAAATGCCTATCAATGATAGACTAGATAAAGAAAATGTGGTACATATACACCATGCAATACTATGCAGCCATACAAAGAATGAGATCATGTCCTTTGCAGAGATACGGATGGAGCTGGAGGCCATCACCCTTAGCAAACTAATGCAGGAACAGAGACCCAAATACTGCACATTCTCATTCATAAGTGGGACCTAAATAGTAAACACATGGACACATAGAGGGGAACGACGCACACTGGGCCCGCAAGAGGGTGGAGAGTGTGAGGAGGGAGAGTATCAGGAAAAACCGCTAATGGTCGAAGCTCAACACCTGGGTGATGGAATCATCTCCACGACAAACCCCTGTGACAGACATTTACCTATAGAACAAACCTGCAATCCTGCACATCCTGTACCCCTGAACTTAAAAGTTAAAAAAAAATAAAGTGAAGCACAATACAATGAGATATTCCTGTATTTCTTAATTTTGTTGCTTAAGCTGTTCCAGCTTTGGCCATTGGGAGTTTTTTCAGTTAGCTTTTGTTCTTTTGAAATATGACCACCAATTTTTAAGAATTTATTTATTTTTTAGCATTTCCTTACTTTCTGGCACTACAAGATGCTGCAGTCTCGTGTTTATTTTCTGCCCCAGACTGTAGCCATTTACTTGTATTGTTCTTTTGTACTCCTTAATTTCAGATTCATGTTGTATCTTTTTCCCTCAGAATAGCTGAAAAATTAAAAAAAATTAGAATGGTGTGTCAGGTAGTTAGGGTCTTGTGATATGGCTCAGCTTTAAAGATTTTTTTTTTTTTTTTTTTGAGACAGAGTCTTGCTCTTGTCGCCAGGCTCCTCAGCCTCCTGAGTAGCTGGGACTACAGGCGTGCACCACCACAGCTGGCTAATTTTTTGTATTTTAGTAGAGATGGGATTTCACTATGGCCAAGATGATCTCGATCTCTTGACCTCATGATTTGCCTGCCTCGGCCTCCCAAAGTGCTGGGATTACAGGCGTGAGCCACCGCGCCTGGTCAGCTTTAAAGATTTGTAAATTGTTTTGATTTATTTTCTTGGTTGAAATGAACTTTTTGCTTTTTTTGAGACAGAGTCTCACTCTGTTGCCCAGGCTGGAGTGCAGTGGCATGGCCTTGGCTCACTACAACCTCCACCTCCTAGGTTCAAGCGGTTCTCCTGCCTCAGCCTCCTGAGTAGCTGGGACTACAAGCAGCTGCCACCACGCCCGGCTAATTTTTTGTATTTTTAGTAGAGACGGGGTTTCACCGTGTTAGCCAAGCCGGTCTCGAACTCCTGACCTCAGGTGATCTGCTCGCCTTGGCCTCCCAAAGTGCTGGGATTACAGACATGAGACATCACGCCTAGCCATATATATTTTCCTTTAAAAGAGACCTTTCCGGCTGGGCACAGTGGCTTAAGCCCGTAATCCCAGCACTTTGGGAAGCCAAGGTGGGGCGGATCACCTGAGGTCAGGAGTTCAAGACCAGCCTGGCCAACATGGTGAAACCCCGTCTCTACTAAAAATACAAAAAATTGACTCCAGAATCTGCGAACCCTAGTTGGTGCCGCATCCCCAGCCTGCAGCCATGGTCGCCTACAAAGTGGTGCTGATCCGGCATGGCGAAGAGCGCATGGAACCTGGAGAACTGCTTCAGCGGCTGGTACGAGGGCGACCTGAGCCTGGCACCACAAGCAGGCAAAGCACGCAGGCAGGCGCTGCGAGATGCTGGCTATGAGTTTGACATCTGCTTCACCTCAGTGCAGAAGACAGTGATCCAGACCCTCTGGGCAGTGCTAGATGCCATGGATCAAATAGGGCTGCCAGCAGTGAGGACTTGGCGCCTCAGTGAGCGGCACTATTTGTTACGAAGCATGGTGAGGCCCAGGTCAAGATCTGGAGGCACTCCTGTGATGTCCCTCCACCTCCAGTGGAGCATAGCCACCCTTTCTACAGCTACATCAGTAAGGATCGCAGGTGTGCAGACCTCACAGAAGATCAGCCACCCTCCTGTGAGAGTCTGAAGGACACTATTGCCAGAGCTCTGCCATTTTAGAAGGAAGAAATAGTTCCCCAGATCCAGGAGGGGAAATGGGCACTGATTGCTGCCCATGGCAACAGCATCCGGGGCACTGCCAAGCATCTGGAGGGTCTCTCTGAAGTGGCTATCATGCAGCTGAACCTGCTGACTGCTATTCCCCTTGCCTATGAATTGGACAAGAACCTGAAACCCATCAAGTCCGTGCAGTTTCTGGGGGATGAAGAGACCGTGCGTAAAGCCATGGAAGCTGTGGCTGCCCAGGGCAAGGCCAAGAAGTGAAGGCCAGCGGGCAGGCTGCTGTCCCCAGGAGCACCCTCCCTGCCGGTCACGTCCCTCTGCCCCTCCCTCCTGCACGTGTCACACTGACCACATCTGTAGGCATCTTGAGTTGTAGCTGCAGATGGGGACCAGTGGCTCCCACTTTCATTTCAGCCATTTTGTCTCCTGCACCCACTCCCTTCACACATTCTGGTCAGAATAGCACTTCCAGGGCATGGGTTCTCAGTCCAAGCTGTGGGAAATCTCCCCTTATCCAAGAGAGTTGAAACGTAGTGACTTGGGTTTTTCAAGTGCCTTGTTTACTAAGGACTTGTGGGGAGGAACCATGCTAAGCCATGACCCATGAGAGAAGCCTGTGTGCCCCCAGGAGCCAGTCCTGTGCACTTCTGCAGTTGGGCCACGGCCTGGGGGCTCTAGTCATTCCGGGGAAGGTGAGTGTAACCTGCATGGTGATGTGACAGCTGTTTCCTCCCTCACCCCAGAGGAGCTGGCTCTAGAAGGTTGGGATGAATCCTGAATTTAGTGTAGGTGTTACATTTAATTTTATATAAAAAAAGAAAGTCTAGCATATGTAAATAATACAAAACAATAACCCTTCTGGGGCTTCTCATGGCAGCTGAAATAATCCCACATGTGGTCATCAGAAAATAGGCCATTCCTCATACCGATAGGGGATCAGCTCTCTGACCTCAGGGGCAGGAGTGCTTCCTGCTGTGTGTTTTTGAATCCCGCCCCCGCCTTGTTCTGCGGCAGTGAAGTGCCCCTAGGTCCCGTCCAAGTGTCTCCACTGATTTCTACATCATGTTCTAGCTGCTTGGCCCTGCCACCTGGGTCCAGTGTTCATTTGAGTGTAACTGTACTAAATCCCTTTTCCAGATCAGTATAATCATGGAGTGATGTGCAATGGTGAAAAAAAAATACAAAAAATTAGGCGGGCGCCTGTGATCCCAGCTACTCAGGAGGCTGAGGCAAGAACCCAGGAGGTGGAGGTTGCAGTGAGCCAAGATGGTGCCTCTGCACTCCAGCCTGGGGGACAGAGTGACTCCGTCACACACACACACACACACACACACACACACACACACACACACACAC